CTAACACCTACTTGAATTCTAAATTTTGGCACTAAACCCGCTCAAACCTAGATCAAACTCAGGAGAATTGCAAGAGAAATGCGATTGCCGAGCTGAAGGAAACTTTAACTAGTTATTTTATATTTATATTTGGTAATTTATTTTTATATATTTTAATTTATACTTCTTAGTTTTTTCTTGGTTTTACACAATGAAACTCTAAATCACGCATTTTTACCATTCGCATTTCAGTGTTAAATTTGTTATTTTTTACCTGTATTCAAGACTTGAAAAATGTTCAAGAACTGCGAAGGCCATCATCATTAAAATACTTATTTCACATTTTTTAGGAAATTTTGGCTATAGCGAAAAATTGACAAAAACAAGTGTGTCTTGGTATTTGTGTAGGCATCTATTGAAATGTTTGAACTTTTTTCTAGCATGACCGTAAAACGTTTCAATAATTATAAAGAATAACTATTTTGTACCTATATTAAGATACAATTATTGTATACACTATAATAACTATAATATACACTATTACAGTTTTCTATTAAACTTACCATTTAACGTTGCACGAAAAGGATTGATCGTCTGACCATGATAATTTGATGATATAGTTTTACATTGAAAAAACATTATTTTCGGGCCAAATGAAATAAAGGTTAAAAAATCACGAGTCGAAATTGTTGAGCTTAAGTCATAAATCACAGTTTGGAAAAACCAATTACACTTCTTATTATAGTGTTGCTATAGTTACACTATTTTGATAAAGTGAATACTAAAAAATTAATATAAACTGTAATTTACGTTATTTTGTGATTTAATACTGTTTTTAAAATATACTTTAATTTTTCTTATCAATTAATATTTCTGTAGAATGTACAGGGTGAATGGTTAACTATGAACCAGTCAATAACTTAGAAGATATAAGACGTTGTTATTGTGTATTTTTCAGTATTCAGCACAATTTATCATAACAGAACAAGTGACTTTTAAAAGTAGCTACTGAATATTAATAATTGTACTTTTATTAATCGTAGTATAAGCAGGTAACTTGTAAAAGTGAATGCTAACAATATTACAATTTAATAGTTATATCATTTATATTTCATAAATTTTTAGAATAATTATTAACTCGTTGTCAGTGTTGACTGCTAAAGCATTAAGAAAATTTCTGCCAATTTAGAACCACTTTGTATTGATATGATCAGAATGCTGTTAAAATGTACTCAAATGCCCCAAAATAGAACGTTAACACAGTGAATGCATTTTTTAACAAACAGTTATATTTTTGGTTTACTCGATTTTAACGATAAAGAAGTTTCCTTTTTCTATTTTTGACCCACCAAAGTACCAACCACATACAATTTAAAATGCATACAGATATTAATCGAGTCATCCTTGTGGTTAGGGGAGAAAGAATTCTACCAAGGTCTTCACACCTGTCGTAAAAGGCGACTAACGTGACGTAGTGCCATCCGATAAGCGGCCTTCTGACTGGTCACTTCATCTTGTGACACACCTTCTCCGGCCCGCAATTAGCACCCAGTGCTACTAGTCGGTCCGCAGTCGAAGGGGATCCCTTCGGGGCGAACCACTAAAGCCAAGGAACATCAGATATTAATCGAGTAGGTTACTCTACGAGAAAAAAGTTATTGTGATTTTAGACTAGAAAAAAACACATTTCAACATATCCAAAACGGTAAATTTACGACCGGTCGGTAAAATTTAATAAACAAGACAACTGTGGCATCCATAAAAGCCACCATTATAAAGACTGTAAACACGGTATACACTTTTTTATCAATATAAAAACAGCTGTAAAATTAATAGGTTTTTGGTTATGTTTATCAATGTCGATAAAATATTATCAATGTAACCACCGTGATTACATAATATATAATATTATATGGTAATAACCGTATTACAATCGTAATTGTCGAAAGTGACTTGTACACGTGTCATTGATTCATAAAAGAGGTTATAATTTCAAGTTTTATGTTAATTTCAGATATTTTATGACTTTTTCGATTTTTACGAAGTAAAACAATTCAAATAAGTACACAATGTAATTCTTTATAAATTTTACATAGATGGTAGACTATTGATAAACGATTGTTCTGTTTTACACTAGTTTTGCGTTCAAGAAAAATACAAAAAGAACTATTTAAGAAAAAAAACTGTATTTTTAATTGCTGATTATAAAATGTTATAGTAAATTAATATCATTAAATTATATATTATTGAAATCGTTATGTTCTGTAGTTTTTAACAGTATATTATTGATCAATGTAACTATTTGCGCAAAGAAGATTTATGAGCACAAAAAGTTTAAATATATAAGTCTCAGAAATATGGGTGATCCATCTAACGTACGACACTCATTTTCTCTGAACTTTATGCTAAGTAGATTAATTTTTATTCAATGATTGCGATTGAATTTTATTTAATGATACATTGACACTTCTAAAACGATGTAGGTATGTACTAAATAAGTACATAGTCAAGGAAAATTCATAGCTCTTTATAGTTTGGTGGCATCTATTTCAGCCACCATCTACAGGACTTAATTTTAAAGTAACATTGATGTTCCCTTAAACAAAAATGATACAAATAAGTTGTAGAATGGTAATAGTATTATAAAAGAACGTTTTAATGAAAAAAACAGTTCTGCCCATCTAGGGTATTTTTACAAGTGCCCTTCATAATACATGCCACAGTACGGTTTTCATAGAGGCCACTAACATATAAAGGGTTAGTATATAAATAGCTAATAACCATTTTTAATTATTTTTCTTAGTTGATCATAATAATTGTTTGATTTTGAATATCGAAATTTTTTTTTTAGTTTTCAAAACGATGAGGTATTGTGTTTTTATTTTTATGATGTTTTGCGCAATGTCTCACTTTAAACGAGTAAGTATATTTGTTTTTACAAGTTTGATAAACAATTAGTTTTTTTATCGTATTCATTTGGTAGTTTGTGTTTTTATATGTTTGACCTATTTTTTTTGTTTTGGAGTACTGTATGTTTACATATATTATTTTGAATGCTTATTTTATATATTTGTATTTTATCATCGTTGAAGTGTTCACAATGCCTTTATTTTACATATTGTAATTACATTGCTATTTTTCGTTTAATGCATGATAACTATAAGTTATCAACTAACAGTTTTGGTATCCTCTTGCTATACGAAAGCCAACAATATATAGGTACTATTTGCTTACGCATATAATATGAGTTTAAAAATATGAAGCATATTTATTCCTTTTTCATGCTACTGACCAGTTTTATTACATATTTCTAAATTTAATAGGCAAACTAAATATGCATATTGATTGTGCTACTTTGATTGAATTCGGTTAATTCAACAATTCAAATCGAAGAAAAAATAATATTTTTATAAAACATACTTTATCGTCACTAGTTTTTGATAAAATAAAAACTTTTAAACTAATATATATACTATGCGGAGTCGATATTATATCAACAACAAATAATGCAGTAAAAAACAATTTTGTGTAAAACGCGTAATAAAACATATTTATGCTACTAACCAATCTCTAAAAAAAAATTATGCGAATTGCCATTACTAAAACCTCCTTCCATTTTCTTTCCATTATTATTTATGTTGTTTCTGTTTTTATATATTTATACTCTAATTTTTAATTTATGAATTTTATTGTATACCCTCGCATTAATTTGGACAGTGAGATCAAACTCAACAAAATATACCAAAAATCCTTGCCCCTAGAAGTGTTAGAAACTGTTTCTTTTTTTTAATTTTTCAGTGTAGTTTAATATTTAATCTCTGAATATTAGAATAAATTCATTAAAGATTATTTTTAACTTAAATCATTTTAGGTAATATAATATGAATTTCATGTTCCGTCGCACAGGCTGAACCAGTGATCCAATAAGTAATCTAAAAACAGATTTGAATTCGTCTCAAAGTGTACTTGAGATCGGTCAGCGTACTTTTTTGATATCTTAATCCTACTATGTAAAAAACAAGTTTGAACATTATACAAAAATTCCAAATATGAAATCAAATTTGGAAAGGGTTAAAATTAAAAATTGAAAAAAGTACTCTGACCGATCCTATACGAATACGTTTTTAAATTGCTTATCGGATCACTGGTTCAGTCTGTGCAATAAAAAAAAAAATGATGTGTTTTGACTGAAAACCCCGACTGCATGCAATCCCCTTAACATTTTAAATTAAGAATAATGTACTAACAATATTGACTGTTTCGGATAACTATTTTTAAAGTTATTGAAGTTTCAAGTTTGGGGCAGGAGGAAAGGTGGAGTGTATTTTTATTTTTATCTGTACGCATTACCCAGCCGCACTTCCCCTCCCGTCCTAACTTTTAAACTCATAATTAATAAGTTAATATATTATATACTAATGTACATAATATATGAACTAATTAATTTAGGTTGCAAAAGTTGCTATCAAAAAAACTAAATTGGGTAAAACAAAAAAAAATGTGAAAAATTGAGATCACGTTTTATAAAAACATTATAAAAAATAAATTCAACTATTGATTAAACCTAGTGAGATATTGACTGGTTCATGATAAAATAATCGCCTCAGTATGTATAAACTATACATATATTATATATTTATATATGTATATAGGTATATATAATCACTATTATGTACCCATATGCTTGAGGTTTTTAAAAAAATTTGTGGTTTTTTTTTAAATTTCAGCATTACTGTAAAATTTAGATATTGTAGGTAAGCTATATAGGAATTAATAATTCACACTAAAAAAAAAGGTAAAAATTGAAACTGTAGTTTGTTTTATAATATTTTTTGAAATTGATACACATATATTATATTTTATTTTTTCCAATTTTGTATGTGATTTAATTTTTCAGATACATTTTTTTTAAGAAGTATTATTTCAAATTATTTAGTAGAGAAATGCTTATTTACCTATCTAGAAATAACATTATTTTATGGACTAATTAAAATACTTGTATGGGAGAGCCATAACTAAGGAAGTTTCATCTTCTGTATTAAGAAAAAAGTAAGGAATTAAAATTACTAATATTAAATAACGGTGAAGCAATGTCGACGGATGGGATGGATGGAGAGGAGTAGTGGTCTCGAAAAAGGACCTAAATGGCCTGTATATTAAGCCAATACAAATTATTGTAATTAGTGTGCTAATATACTAATAATTTTGTAGAAATGCCAATATGCTCTGCCCTTTTTCACCATGGTTTTCGTTATTTACAAAACGTATAAAATGGATAAATTGTTTGAATGACTGCAAGACAACACTTCCATGACGTATGACACAAGTGCTGTCGGGCGGGGGTGTAACATCAGCACTTGTTGCGTATGGTACTGTAGTTTCCATACTCATGAACAATCCTAAGAGTCGACATGTGTGTTCAAAACCCTTGTTGTAGGTATCCAGGTCTAAAAAAAAAAGTTTTTAAAAGTTATCCAAATTTAGCTTACTGCACTGAAAAAAATACATATATGGACAAACTAAAATTAAGGTTAATCTATTATCCATCTTATATCCTCACCCACGAGAAAAAGTGTATTGAGTTCTTATGATAGTTAATTTTAGTATGGAAATTCAAACAACTATTTAAATTATTAAATTAAATTGCGAAGTCCTTACTAGCAAATTAAATATTTTAAAATCATAAAAAATTATATTGGTGAAGTAGTTTTGGATCACATCACTCTATTGCACACAACCTTGTTTATGATTTAGTAATTTTATTCATCAACGCAATTAAGTAACTTATGTTACTCAATTAACTCATCGTTTATGAAAAGGGTCAATTAAACCTTGTACTGTTGGTTGAACAATAAATTAAACAAATTGATATTCATAAATTGAAGTAATAGCGAATGAGATATTGTTTTTAAGTACAATTAAAATAAAACTTTCAGTTTTGTAAAGTGTTTGTAAAAATATGTTGAATTTTATAATTACCTGAAGTTTCGAGTAATATTTTTTGCAGTTGAATCTCGGATAAGAGCTCTAAAGTTTAAAACAAAATTAATTTTTACATATGTCTATTGTTATGGCAAAATTAATAGGTATACATATTATGATCTATTATTCTAGATTATCAATGATATTGTACAAACTAAATTAATATATAATCATATTGTTCGTATAGGAGACTCTTTTGAGAAATATTATTAACACAAGTTGCGTTATTTGAGCTTATTATCCTCATCAATCCTCGACTTCACCACTATTGATAATTCTTGGAGTTCTTCGGTAAAAAACATTTTTTAAAAATACAATACACACAAAGGCCACTAATTAGAACCATTTTTTATAGAGATTATAGTTCATAAATATAAATTACCTTATAGTCAGGCAAATGGCAAGTACAACAAAACCATTAAATGTATAGTATTAATAATTTTAAGTATGTCTTACTGGCGTTAATATGTGCGCCAATGAGTATGTCTGTAATAAATTATGTATAAAAAATGCAAGTCTTGAAATTAAACAAAATATTTTGTAAACGAAATATGTACTGACTTGTATTTTCAAGCTCCGATCGAAAGAAATCTAAATCTGTAAGAAAGTTGAATATTTATTTTGTTTAGTTTTTTGTTAAAGTTAAAACAAGTACCTTGAGTGGTCACTTGTAAAAACGAATTACATACCTTTAGTTGCCAAAACATTAAGAATAGTACACAGGAGTAACACATAAATCACTCCCATTTTTGTCTGCAAATAATAATACAAATTAAAACATGTCATAATAGACGGAGATATACTTACAATAAAATCTAAACATTTATTGTAGGGTTGCTTATGTTAATTGTTTAACTCCGTGTGGGATTATTTCTTTATCAATATATTAATGTATAACTAGATCAAACAACTACATTACAACAACATTATTAGAATAATACAAGAAAAAATAGAAATAGAATGGCAGAACACGTGGCAACAATCAAACACAAAGCTAATTGAAATAAAAAACATTATCAAAAGATGGCCAAAAAGCAGAAAAATCGAAGTCATATAAAACAGACTCAGAATTGGACACAAAAACTTACCCATGTGTACATTTTAAAAAAAGAAGACAAGCCAGTATGTCAACCCCGCGGCACCTCTCTCACGGTCAAATACGTATTAACAGAATGCAGAAAATACGATGACTTTAAAAGAATTAACCAGCAACCTGACCATCTATGGGAAATCCTAGGACCATAAGTATACCGACCTATTACCGGCATATTAGAATCGAAAATTGTTAATTTATTTCACAAGATTTTTTCCAGTAAAATAACATTGTAAGGTGTCTTTGGGCAAACTTGGCTTTTTTAATAATGGATCAATAAATTTATTTTATCATTACGGTTCCGCAAAACTACCGCAAAGCAACAATTTTTCATTTAGGTCCCCAATAATTTTGTATAATAATTGGCAATTTAGTTCGGTGTGTCTGGGCAAGTTTGGCTTTGTTATATTATATTATTCTAGAAATATCGATTTACTGAGCGGGTATATACTATCGCCTATACTTGTCCTAGTGTAAACAATTATAATTCTTACCGAGTTATTACAAAACATTAGATTGTATAGAAAATGTATAACGATACTATTTTCTTAACTGTGACACATTAATGAATGAAGAAGAATTTTGTTTATTTATTAAGAGATCGGAAAGTATGGACAGAGTAATGAAAAATTTGGTAACTGGAATATATGATACATCTAGGCAAAAACCCATTTGATAAGTATATTTATTGATTTTAATACAAAATTTGTGTTTGACATAATATTTGTAACAATAAGGTAATATCATGCAAGAAAGCTCAAACGTTCAAAAAGACAAATACTGAAACATGTTACATTCAAAAAACCGTTTGTTTTTCATAAGAAATAAAAAATTATGGTAAAACTTAAAAAATTGTATTTGTAAAATTCAACAGTTCTTGTAACGGAGTAACTTAAACAATTTGTGAAGCTAACACTGTTAGCTTAACAGCCATTTGTCTTTTGTCTCCATTACTTCGAGTTCTTATACACTAAGTTAAGTGTATAGTATGTCAACAAACACATTAAAATAAAATAAACTAAATATAAAAAAATGTCGATATACATAAACTCCTCATTCCCTAGCGAGCGAACTCAAATTAAATCAGATTTAGAAGTAGTAGTATCAAAAATAAAATGAAAATAACCACTGATAATATGTTACATCTATATTTCTAACCAAAAAACATTTTCTTGCAATGACATCGAAAGTATTATATAGAAAATACCCTCTCTTTACACTATTGCAGGGGGATTTTAACAAAATATGGGATACCGGTAAAATACCGGACAGCTAGAAAAACGGAAATGTAGTAACGATACAAAAACCTGGGGAAAATAAATTGCATTTTAAATGTTATGGACCTATTAAATTAATTAACACCATGTGTAAAATGTTAGAAAAATTTATAAAGTTTAGATTGGTCTGGTACCTTAAGCACATACAATATTTCAGCTATATTCAAAGTGGATTTAGGAAATATAAGTCAACTTAAAATTCTCTTAGTAAGATAAAAGATGATATAAATTTTACTCAACAGGTTAAGCAAAAATTTGGACTAATTGGGTAGCTTAAACATAGCCAAAGCTTATAACAAAACATGGAGACACTAAATCAAAAGAGAACTATCCAAAGTAATAAACAAAGAAAAAATGTTTAAATTTGTCGAAAGTTTCCTTCAAATTAGAACATTTCAGGTCAAAGGGGAAAATTGCTGTTCGGATAAATATATTTGGGAGAATGGAGTCCCTCAAGGATCGACACTACCTGTAACTCTTTTTTTAGTTTGTGAAACAATGTATCTAATACTATCTCGGCACCAATACAGGCAACGTTATTTACCGACGACTTATATATTTCTTGTAAAAGCAAAAGAATTAAAACAGTGAGACACTTCTTACAGGATACATTAGACCAACTTTCTAATTGGACACTTAACTCAGGATTTCAATTCTCCTCCAAAAAATCAAAATGTATAAACTTTACTAAAAATCGTAAAACTGTAAAGCTATCATTAAAAATGGCCAACAAGGAAACCGAACAAGTCACAGTAATAAAAATATTAGGTCCAACTTACAACCAAAAAAATTCATGGCTACAACATAAATCAGCTAAAAATGTATTTAAATCGAAACTTAAACTTAATCAAAATGATATCAAACACCATTTTGGGTGCAGATACTTTAATTTCAAAAATAATGTACAGAGCCATTATTCGGTCCAAGATAGACTATGGAGTGATAATATTATATAAGTGTGAATCGAACTATCTTAAACAAATAGAAAGCAAACACAATAGTGAGATACGTCTCTTCTTTACACGTTCAAACTATTAAGAACAAATAACCCAACATTAAACTACAACCAATCAAGAATTTACCAAGCCATACTTTATAGAATAAACCTTGAAAATATTACTCAAATAGAATGGCATAAAACTATACCTTGGACAACCAAACAAACAATAATTGAATACTACTGGATAATCCATCGCCCGGGTGTTTTTTACACAGGTTGGATCCGATTATTTGCGTGGTTCAATAGGTAATACACTAAAGGATTCTTAAGATAAAAGCGGATAATGTGGACTGTATAGATGGTAGGATGGCACTTACAATAATATTGAAAACGAATGCGGAATTAAAATAAGTAAAATATGTACTTAAACATAAAACACAAAACGAACAGAAAATGATTAATCAATGGGGAGAAATCTTATAAATTAATGCCACACGGCGCAGTAACCTAAAAACTTCTAAATTTATATTAACAATAAGATATTTATCGACTATTTGAAGATTTGTCTTGTAACCTATGCTCAACCCAATGATGGCCACTAGGATAACAGATATGTAGCTGACGAGTACACACACGCGAACTAGAACACGCTAAGGTGTAGGCGAGTCGCAGGGCGATTAAACTATATGTACAAGGGTGCAGGTGAATAATGCACTGGGGTGCACGCGAAATATATGCACAAGAGTGCAGGCAAATCGCATGACGATTAAAACTATACGAACGACTATTACTAAAATAACAACATAGGACCATCGAGTAAGGTCTAAGATGACGGGATGTACATCAGCGAGCGAATAAACGACCGGTAGGCACAATGGTCAACGAAACATAGGATTACTGACAAAGACGAGCTGCGTTACATCAGCGTTCTCTCTCGTCCAACCGGGGGTGGTGGCACAAGCAGTGTTGCCGGTTCACCACATAATAATAAAAAGAGAGCATGTATGCTATTGTAACATTGTACCATAGCATACAATGTTACCATTTTTGAAGTTCGTTATTATTACTTAAACAATTGCAATGATGGAAATACTAACTGCTTCAGTGGTTTTCATACATGTACAGTGTGATTATTTTATCATGGGCCACTTAATATCTCACTTAGCTCAATTAATACATTTTTTTTTTTTCATAGTGTCTTCAAAAATGTGTTCTCGATTTTCCATAAAATTTTATATCTCCAACTGCTTTTAAACTTAGTTTTTTTGTTAGCAAATTTTAAAACATAAACTTTAACACATGCATTTCATTAACTTTTTAAATTGAGAATAATGTACTAAACGTTTTGACTGGTTGATAACAAGTTTTGGATTACTATTTTAAAGTACTTAAACAATAATAATAACAATATGAGTACCCAACAATTTCTGGTGATATTATTCAGTTAGTGCAAAACACTTGTTTAAAAAATACATGTTTTTTTTGTGTTCAAGATGTAAACATCAAAGAGTGACTACGGCTAGAGGAGGAGCTAAAATATATATCATGTAAGTATAATATGGTATACAACTAAACAAATGCTGAAAGTCCTACACTACAATACTAAAAAACTATTTACATCTATTCTAAATACTCCGTCCCTACTGTTTTTATTCCATTATGCCTTGAACCAACTTTACTGGCTTACTAGGATAAAATCACTTTCAAATAAACGCTTTTATACGTACTATGATATGCGTAGTTGAGTGGACCAAAAACAATTTTTTTTACTTTTTCTCTTGACATTATGTTCCTTGGGAGTAAAATAATATTTCCCTATTTTTTAAAATTTATAAAATTATTTATAAAGGTTACGAGCATCAAAAAATTTTTTTTTTCTTTTTTAAGGTAGACTTATCAATTTTAAGCAAATGTGGCTTGTATACGAAATCATCAATAGAATAAGAGGAATAAATCAGTATTTTTTTTTTTTTACAAAAAAAACTTCTATCCAACTAATTTAGGCCTTAGAATGTAAAATTTTCTAAAATATTTTTAACTTATTCCTCATTTAGTTGCAAAGAATTCCGATATACTTACATAACACATTATATTAACAATAGATCAGAATAAAAACCAAAGAACAAGTTTTGAATATATATATCTAGTTTTTTTGGTTTTTTTTTTTAAATAATTTTTTTTCTGATATATTGATAGAATAATGTGTTATGTTTTTGTATATAAAATTTATGTATTTCTACATAAAGATTTTTTTTATTTTAAAAAATAATATCGTTTTTTGTTAATTATTTGTAGAAACAATGAACTAAAAAAAAAATATATTTGTTAAGTAACAGTATTCAAAACTTGTTTTTTGTTTTTTTTTAATCATATTTTTTTCTGATCTATTGTTAGAATAATGTGTTATGTAAGTATATCGGAATTCTTTGCAACTAAATGAGGCATAAGTTAAAAATAATATTTTAGGGTACTATTTAGAGTATAATATATATATCAATGATTTAGCAAATTCCAAATTCTAAGGCTTAAATTAGTTGGATAGAAGTTTTTTTTGTAAAAAAAAAAAAAAAATAATGGTTTATTACTCTTTTTTTAATGATGATTTTGTATACAAGCAACATTTGTTTAATATTGATATTTATACCTTAAAAAAATTAAAAACTAAAAAAAAAAGGGAAATATTGTTATACCCCCCCAAGGAACAAAATGTCAAGAGAAGAACAAAAAAAATTAGTTTTGGTCCATCCTAATGCGTAGTTATAACCAGTGTTTTGCATCATTATAATAAAAGATATATAAATAATCTTCTAGATGACAAATTATTCAAATAAAAATTTTTCGTTTAAAAATGTATTTGAATAATTTTTAAAAATAGTATTTAAATTGTCAGTAAGTATTTTTTTACACCTGAAGTAGTGTCACTGGACTCAAGTCGTCCAGTTTTGTAAAAAAAATTATTTTACTTATTGCTCATATTAATACAGATTGTAAATATTTCCAATAAAAAATAAAAATAAAACATTTTTTTAAATAAATATATTTAAAAATATTATTTAATATACATTTAGTAAATTTTGTATTCAGAAAAAATATAAACCCAGTAAATATAAGAAAACAATTTTGTATATTACTTACTAAATAATTGCAATGATAGTTATACTGGCTTCTTTAATGGTTTTTCTACGACTGATCGAATGGCTTATATTTTGTCGACCTAAACAATAAAATCTAGATGTATTTTGCAGAATTGTTTTTGCGAATTTGTTAACACAAGAAACATATGTCATTTTTGGTTTCGAGCAACTTATTTATATTTACATTACTCTGAAGTATAATACGAAGTAAAGTATAATATTACATTTACTCAATATTTTAGTAGTATGAGTAATAGTAAGGGCGGGGTCTCAGCGGAGCTCTATGTACACAATTAACTTACAAATAAATTCGTACAAACGATCGTCGCCAATGAACACGCAAAATAAAAACTATGAGATTCGAATGTTTTTTAACCCAAGAGAAAAATATAGAATCAAGTTTTTATAGGGGTTATAGTTTTTTTTAAACCTAAATTAGGAAAACCATTGTAATTTTAATGTGGTTAATTACATTGTATACACTCAGATACGGAAATTGAATTAATTATCCGTATTTTATCAAATTAAACATGTATATTTTTTAACTATTTCAGACAAATCTGAATTTTTTGTTGAACCTAGAATTATACCTAGATAATTAAACGATGACATAGCGCATTTAAGTGTATTGATAAAAATCATTGTTAATGTGTAGATAGTAAAGAAAGTTCATAATGTTTTTTACCCAATTATTAGGAGGTTGTTTTCCTTCTTTTGTGTAAACTGGATCTTCCCAAACATAGTAGTCTGTGAATGGTGGAATTTTTTTCACAGATTTCAAAAACCATTCATGCAAATGACTCGAGTGATTTGGCACAAAATCCAACAAAACTTTTATTCCTAAGATTACATTTCTTATATTAATATATTAAAGCATATGTGTATCAACAGTATTACAAATAAACAAAAAAGTTAGCGTTGGTTGTGTAACAACGGGTTAAGAGGTATTAAAGCGGAAAATTAGCACTTCGAAAAGGTCCAAATTGAGCTTAACTAGGGGAATCAACATAATAAAGCTGGGTTACTAATTTATTTATTTCTATTTTTTTTTTATAAATATTTTTGGGCAAACTAAAAAAATAATGCTTACCGGCGTTATGGTATGTATTAAGTAAGCGATCAAAATCTGCTAAAGTTTCAAAGACTTTTTCAGTTTGCTTAAAATTTGATATGTCATAACCAAAGTCAAACTGTGGTGATTCGAATATCGGAGAAAGCCAAATGGCACCAATGCCTAAATCTTTTAAGTAGTTTACTTTTTGAGTTACTCCTAAAAAAATGTATTTAATTATATCACTAAAATTCACCATAGTTTAATTAATAGTTTACCAATGCCACATCGCCTAAAATTAATCAAATTATGAACTGTACATTTTTAATGCATTTTTGTATTAAATAAATAAATAGTATGACCAAATATAACTATTAATAGATGAAAACAAACAATTACACCGTTGTCTTTTTGTAAAAACCATCTCATATTTTATAAAGTTATACATAATAATGGGATGCGAACAAGCGTTGGAGTTCAACAAAAATCTATCGGTAATTAAAACTATTTTCAACAAGAAAGCAAATATTTGAACTGGCTATCCTGTCTTTTTTTTAAATTAAATTGTTTCATGAATTTAAAAAATAGCTTATTAATAAAATACACTGTTTACTATAATATGTACTTACCGTTTAAATCACCAATGCCATCACGGTTGGTATCTTTAAATGATCTCATATAAACCTGATAGATGATACCGGTTTGCCACCAATCTAATCCGTTTGTATTATTGTAGGCTTTATAGATATTCTCGGAATAGACAACATTGCGTGTGATTGCCAACCCCAAAAACAAAAAAATACGAATCATTTTAGTTTTCAAAATAATACAATATAATATAATTTTATACTATAGCAGCTGTAATAAGCGTTTGGATTTTTATTGATAACTGTTATGGTTGCATAATACAATTTATTCTTATATTCCGTTTTTTAATCCCAAATTGTACTACTTTTAAATCTTCAACCTAGCCCATTATTTAGTATAATTTATTACTACAATAAAATTATTTGTTGCCATTATTTGAGGATTAGGTAGATTACATAGTATGTTATTATGACTGAAAAGAAAAAACGGTAATTTGGCTTAGTTGACTCACGATAACAACTTAACATTGTTTAAATCACTAAATTAGATACACTTAATAATGTATATTGTCATAAGTATTTTAGGCTGATTTAATAATTATTAATTTGTCTATCTATGATATGTCTATCGACAGCACTATGATCTGCTATACGATTACCCTACATTCTGACAATAATATCTATCAAAGACTATACAGGTTAATAGTTGTTATCTAAATTCCAAGTTGTCTGTTAATCCCTGCTTCCCTACCTCACCATTATCTCGCATAATCTATACTTTTTTTATCTTTTTATTTTAATTTTAAAATAACATTTACAACCTGTACATAAAAAATATACAATTAGAAAATATGCTAACAATGTGATAAATGACTTGTAGACTATGAGTAGGGAAGCTATCCAGTGATAGGGCTCTTAATCTATACTTAATCTAAAAGACCAGCACAAAAAAAAAAAGCATTCGGATTGACATTGTTATATGTTATTTGACCGAGATGGTTATTTATGAGTGACTAGAAAAGTGACTAGTTAACGCCATTCTTTCACAGACCGACTTGAGTGAAAATACCCTTCTCCGACTTCTTCAAATTCCCTTATTATTATTTTTCGTTTTTTTTAAGAAGCGTTTTAACATTTAATTTCGCCTTTTTATATAATGACACTTACATATAGAGATCTCGCTAACTCCCGCTTGATATTTTTCATTTATTTTCATATCCGCTCGATAAGGTCGAATAAAATAATTATCGCTAAATGGTTTAAAAAAAACAATTATTTATAAATTAATATCAAAAGTATTTGTTGTCTGTATAGCGAATGAAACTTTTGTTGTTTTATTTAATTTATTATAATACTGCACAGCACAACAGTCATCGCCGATGAAGCACTAGTCATATTTTTATATATAAGTAAAAAAACAAACTTTATGGCCATTTCTAGTGTACATATGCCGTACCGGAAAAAAAAAGTTATATGAAACATGGATGAATAATGTGCCCAAACTTTGTTCTTAGAACTAAAACACAATTAGTGTACATCAATAATGTCGACTTCAGTTTTTATAATGATCACTCTGTATTCGATTTCAGTGTGGGCAATGTTCTTGTGTATAGAGCGTGTTTTTTTAAAACAACTTGTTAGTGGAATTAATGGCACCACTAACAAGGTAGTAGCTTAACGGTCTATTTTTTTTTTAGACATTTATCAATCATAGCATCGTCTCGACACACTCAATAATGTGTGCGCTGATGCACTAGCCAGTGTGTACAATATTATGCACGTCGGCTACAACGCTTACACGTTGCGGAATTATGTCGGGGCATAATATAACACATTATTATTATTATTTATTATATAATATAGTAAAATATATTAAGTAAGTATATACGCTTTTGGCGGACGCACAAACGAATCTCTTTAAACTCGCCTAGCCGACGAACACATTATACTTACAGCGGCGAACCTTTCCCTCAACTCCGTCCACATGGATATGGTAGGTCCTTTCTCCCCGTCATCGTTCTACGTTTTTCGACCGCCGTTTTTTCCTATTACATGTGTGTAATAATTATTACCCGTTCCGTGGGGTATTTTTTTTTCTCCAAAACGATAGAAATAAAATGTGTTACAAAAATAAAAAACGGCTACTATTACTTCTACTACTTTATTACTGCTTCCCCGTCCATCGCGGGTCGACCTGTTGTTTACAGATTTCAGCTCCTCACGCGACACGCACATAAAATAATGCCCACATTTATTATGTGTGTTAACAAAATAAATAAAAACCCTAACAATCATTGGGAAACTTATACCTTCTTATAACCTTGCACATACTCGTATTATATGTATTATATATTTTTTGGCTTCCACAGATATTGCTGACGCTTTATCACAACATGTCTTATGTTTTATATAGTTTCAAGTTTTAAGTTTGAACCATACATCTGTGCAACAAGTGCAAGCATTTTTTTGTAATTTGGGAGGACACACTATTGGCAAGGAATGTACAGAAAAAAAAACAACTCGGTGTCTTGACCCGAACCAAAGAAAGATTTTTAATAATTTCCAAGTTGGAGTATTTCTCATTTGATTAAAACGTCCAAAAGCAATGCGTAGCTGGAGTATTAATAGTTCTTAAACCCCAATGATTGATCCCTCGAACGTTTTGGTAATAGCCTTAGGATAGTTTTGAAGAACCCGTCGATGGCATTGTGTGCGTCGGATATTTGAAAAGGATATTCCACTTATTGAAAAGGCATTGTCCGTTTCTGGGAAGCTTTACTTTTGAACTTATTGATCTCTACACTGTTCACAGCTATACATGCACACACGAGCAAACATCTTTTCGCTTCTAGGCTTGTTTACGGGAATGGAACTTTTACAATAGGTAGGATGAAGGTTAACAATATACCGAATAGCATTGTACTTAAATGTTTATTCACTTAAAAAATATAGAATTCGTAGATATATGACGTATATCTAAATTAAAATCAATTGTAAAATTGTATTGTAAAATTTCAATAAACAACACATTTTCACAAAAGAATGGCCGATAACCACATTTTTCTAACAACTTATGACTCACAATAAAAAAAAACTGAATATCGACAAAATAACAAATGGCAAAAATTTTAAATGCGTATAAAGATGTATTGAAAAATTGATTTTTTAATGTCATAATATAAACTTTGATAACTACAAACGTTGTTTAGAATTAAAATGTGGTATAGCATAACATGTTTTTGCATTAAATTCAAAGTTAACCATTATTTCCACCAACTATACCGTTAAGTTCAAAGAGAGAGATTGTTGTTTTTTATGTTTAAGATTAATTTTTTTTACCCTGTACGAATAATACGGACTGTAAAACGTTTTGATACGTACCCGTAGATATAATATAATAAATCATTGTCGAAAATATGCTTAAATTAGCCCTAAAACCTCACCTAAAAGCATAATAAACAAAAAATTGCCACCCATCTAGGGAAAAGGTTTTATGATATGTTTGGTCAGTGTAAGAACATTTTCTATAGTTTTACTAGTTTTTTTTTAAATGAACGTTTCAATTTGCTTGCATGGTAGTACCATATTGTCTCAAAACTTATAATAAAATAGCTCAAACATTAGTAAATATTTTACTGGGTTGAACTTTACGTGAAACTGCAAAAGACACCTCTTTAACAATATACATTTTATAATAGTGTGTACTTATGGTTTGTGTTCATACAATTTGTTTGTTTTGAAACCCGACTACCTAAAAACCAATGGAATTTAGAACTCCGTTTTCGCGGCCTTTGAGCAATTATAATCACATAGTATAGTGTATGGAATTTTTATTTTTTATTTAAACGAATATTGTTATTATATGAAGACTAAAAGCATTGATCGTTTGCTAAATATTGTTTTTGGTTTTGTCCCATGTACAGCAAATAAAACAATATAATTTTTTCATATTTCTAGCTTAACATGTGCTTACGAATGTACAATTCGGTCAAAAAATAACTCTTTAAGTATTTAACATGCAAATAAAATAAAACGAAAAACAACTACCTACAAATATTTCCATTTACATATTTATGTTGTTTTTGCCATATCGCACCATATAAAAGACACCCCGAATCGAATCGAATTCTACTGTTCAATCAACTTTGGTACCGAAGACGTACTTCTAGTTCAACAAAGTGTTTGAAAAAAAAAAACCATCATGCATTTCAAAATTGCTGTTATCCTCTGTGCGTTGTACTTCGTGACCATGACACAGGTAAGTATACTTCATAATAATAAAAATTAAAGATGCAATAAAAATAATAATTTTAGTAGTTAATAGTGTGTATTATTATGATTATTGTACTTATCGTACTTTATAGAGCGTCGGAGTCAATCAGGGTCAAGTCAAAAGGATTGTTGATTTAGTAAAAAAAGACGAAAACGCTAAGGACCAAATTACCCCAGAAGACATCAGAAAAGTGTTGACAGAATTGGGCGTGAAGAATTTGGCAGGGTATATATACGAAGCAGGTAATAAAGAATCTTTTCAACAGGGTTTAAACTTAACGAATTGAAACCAAATTTCACCCTCTCCAACTTAAAATCAAATTGTCACTAAAAAAAATATCCATCGGCATTTACAATTTTTTCAATTTAACGAAGTCATCTTGGCTAGCTCGATTAAAATATGCTTAAAATTTTATTTTTAAATATAGACACGAAAGACGGTCAAAAAGTACAAAGTATAATTGTGTTTCTGACCAAAAACCAGAAGACAGAAGACCACTGGATGGTAAATACCAAAAAAAGTTATGGCCAAATTAGTAATTAATGCGATTTTATTATTTCTATACACGTTTTTCTACATAGACCACAAGTTTATCATCCCAAGAAGTAATAGTGTACTTGAGCCTGTTCGTACATAATGATAAAGAAGGAGGCGATTTGGATGGTCTAGTTAACCCTGCGGAATTAAAAAAAATCATTGAAGCTTTAAGTTTAAATGATGGCCAGAAAGAAATTTTGACAGGAAAATTTGAAGGTGCTATTGAGTTAACGAAGTCGTGAATTTTATTTCTACGGTTGATTATTTTAATTAATTATTTTTATAGCTGACCCAACAGTTAATTTCGCTGAATTCTTATATGGCTATTTGGATGTAAAATCACTAGTAAGAATTTATGGTTTTGTTAAAGGCTCGATAAAATACGCATATAATTATGATTTTGCCTGCCATGGCATTTAACCTGTCTAAGAAAAATATGTTTTGTAGATTTTTAGCACATAATAGCATTAAAAAAAAGTCAAACTCCTGTCCTACATTTAATATTTACGTGATTTAAATATTTACTCATAGGGCAGAGGTCTAGACATGGAACAGATTACAGATCTGAGTAATATTAAAAAAAACAAAACAAATGACGATTGCATTCAACCCGATAAAGTAACAGAATTTATCGAAGGGTTATCAATAATTGATGGCCAGCATGAGAAATGGGAATTTGAAAGCTTTCGTAAGTAAATATTGTATGTAGTATTATAGTATGTAATATAGTCTATGTAGAGTTGTCAAAACAACTTTTTATCTGTACGAAGCAAAGAGTCAAAAATTATCTTTTACTTATTCATGTTACATATGTTTATTTGTATTTACAAAATAATTGTTATTTAGTTTAGATTTATTCAATTACTTATTTGAAGTTTTTAAACTTTGATTCAATGAGTATATTTTAATAAAATAAAAATGTATTTAATATTTTGACCATAGAAAAATATGGCTTGGAGTTGCAAGAGCTGGTAGTTGTTTCAGCAGAATACAACAAAACGGCCGACGAGAAAGTAATGTTTTGTAGCTTTTATTCGGACGCACCCCTCCCCCCCCATTCATTGAATTAGTAAATTATAGGAAATTGTTGGCAAAATCTTAATTTAGAGCTTCAACTATAGTGCACACTCGTTAAAACAGCAACGAGGATTGTTTATTGGTTACCTATAGTTTTTTTGTTGCCAGACTTTCACTGTAATGGTTTTAGAAAAATATAAAAATTTTTTTTTCTTTACTTAAGTTTGGCGCGAATCTAAACTATACTCTGGATGGTTTAGACTAAATTTTAGTAGTTTATAAAAAAGTTACTAAGAAAACTTAAACATTGAAAATGTATAAAAGGAAAAATTATTGGATCTACCGAAAAACTGTGATGGACGATATGCTCTTCTGTTTCCCTATGAAAATTTGGTGAAATCAATGCTACCACAGCCCATAGAGTATATTAAATTCGCGAAAACCATGTTATCACACTGCAAATGACGAGTGGATTGCATCTTCGTGCGCTCTATATAATCTAAAGATGTGCTACATGAATTACTTTGTTGTTTTTTTTTAGCAAAGAATCGTCATTTCTAGCCCTAACGTAAGAGAATTGGTATCATGGTTCGCTTTTTACGATGAAAGCCAAGACGGTTTACTCATTGGGGAAGAACTTGACGATATTGTGGCCAAGTATTTCAAAGGATATACTGTTGACTCTATCCTGATTGACGCCAATGACAATGGTAATATTGCAAATTATAGCGTTAACAAAATCGTTTTAATTACATTAAATAACTATCACAATGAGGACGAGCACAGAGTACGATCCAGGAGGTTTTACGTGTGCAGACATTTTTACAAGTGAACCTATTAATGTTAATCTCGAAAAACCGCCGTGATAATATGTACATAAAACGGACGGTATTAAATCGAATATTTTTCCTTGGTAAAAATAAATACTATACTAAATGTTATTAGCAGAAGAAAAATATGTGTCTTATTATGAAAAATGTCCATTAGTTAATAGATATGTGATTTATGAAATAGATTATTTGGGTTAATATTTTAAGAATGCGGTAAATACATTTTTTTTCTATTTGGACTGTAACGTGATTTTACAGTTCTGAAAAGTTTTATTGGAAAAATATTGTAAAAATGTTGAAGTAGAACTAGAGACAAATTAAATTAAACTGCTTAACTAAAAATATTTTATTTTTCAGGCGACCGGTGTCTTGACCCTTTGGAGTTCTTCACCGTGATATTTAAGAAGCTTGAGCATCATAAAAGAGATTGTCACTATCATAAATAATCGCTGAAAAGTTTTATGAGTTTTTACTGAATTGAATATTATACTAAATGATTTACGTGCTTATATATTTTGGGAGTGCTTTAATTATGGGTAATACATTTTATGTTTTATGATTATTTTCAAAGCTGTATAATTTTACACATATATTTTAATTATTTAATGATTTTAGTAAATATACAACGATTTTAATCCATATTAATAAATAAGATACCATTTTTTTAAGTATGATTGTGTCAATTCGTTCAACGTTTAAATAAATAACGTAATACCGTGAAAATTATGTTTTTATTTCGAAATCATTATAATTACCTTTCTTAGCCCTGCTTAAGCCTTGCAAGCCGTGTAGTTCCTGACAGCCAAAAACAAGTGTGCATACAAAAAATTAATAACAGCCTTATTTTGTTTTAGGGGTATTAATATTGAATCGCTGTTATAAACTGTTAAAATTAATATCAAAACCCGTCGAATAGCTCTAATTTAAAAATAAAAAATCTTTAGAAAAAAATGTATTCCTTAAGTGTTCCTCAATCTCAAAAGATACCTAATTTAGTTATATTAGTTTCAGAGTATTTTATCTTGAACTAATGCAAAATACTGGGCTATAAGGATAAGGAATTTATATTAGTACATTATCCTAAATGAATCTCTCTATATTATAAAAAAAAATTATTAAGTATCTACAAAGGCATTTAAATAGCCTATGTACATAGGTTTAAATCTTAATGGATAAGTCAAAATGAGACAGTCTTGGTAAATATGAAATAAAATATCCAACTCCGCAGTATCTAAGAATGTGTGCAGTATTTTTTTTTAACCACAATAATTAAGAAATACAATACCGACAAAAATTTACTATAGAGCCGTTGGTAGATTTACAACTTTTGGTGGAAGATTTATTTTGTAGATTAAAATTATAGCAATAGACCTGTGGCCTTAATGCCGTAGCAATGTAAACAAATGACTAATTTGTATTTTAATATCACAATCTTTTAGGTCATGTTTTTCAAAAAACAGTTTTTATAAATATATTGCTGTTTTGTTCGGAAACAAATAGATTTCCACAGTGAATACAAAGTATTGGCAAAAAAATAATAAAAAAGCCAGTACAGTGGGGTCGGGGCATAGTGGGACGGAGAGGTCACAGGTCTACAGATTTTATTATAACTGAAAGTGATAAAATCACTTTTAAATAAACGCTTCGATGCGAATCTGTGGATAGTATGTTCAAACAAGTTATAGTGGCTTAGAAGATATCGTGGGACCAGCAATAATGTACTTAAAATTCAATATTTAGTCTTGTGCAGGGTGGATACGATAAGGGTTGATCGTCTGTCTATAAAAATGTACTGTCATAGTTACCCATATGTCGTGATGACAATATAATGAAAATATTTTCATTACCTGTTGACACACACATAGCAACCTAGAAACTGACTACGGCCAAAGTGTAAATTTACCCTATTTTTGGAGTTTTTCCTTAATGAAAAAAAATTTGGCAACAGGTTTTTGAGAAAATTGCATATGTTATAGTTCCATTTTAGATCTACCTTTGGTCTAATTTTCAGATCTAAATCTCTAAAACTTTGCTTGAAAAAGTGAAATAAAGAAAAAAATTCTATTTCTTCTAAGGGAAATGGTTTATGATATTTTGTTTGTTTGTTAATGATCATTGATAATACTATTGTTTGAAAAACAATTCATATAAATTTGGAACATTTTTGACTATTTTTAAAAAAGTTAAATATCATCGTCATTTTAAGTTGAAAAATTTGTACATTTATTAGGAGTTTTTCTCGATTTTGATGGGGATGGGGTGACTTTTTTAATTTTTGGCCTGATAAAGTACCTTCCAGCTATGATTTCTGATCTTAAGAGTTGCTACACGAAGAAATCGGTTCAGCGGTTTACGAGATTTTGTGGGTCCAGCCACAAAAATAAAAAAATAAAACCACATCATTGTAAAAACAATACCTTCTTAGCTCCGCATCGAAGCTAAAATTAGTATTTTTTTAAATATATTGTTCTTTTGTTTCACAAGAGTAAATAAACTGGGTCAAAAGGAACTCTAAATAAATTTTGTTTTATAGTATTTTCTATTTCTTGTTTGTATTTATAAATAATTGCCGAATATTTTTTTTTGCACGGTAGAGCCCTACCAACGTATTACAAAAATGACAGCAAAAACTTTTTTTGTACATTAACTTTGTTAGATTATCCTAAATGAACATCTATAATTATTACTTAATACAATTCGAACGTTTTATTATTTTAAATAAATAACAAACAAAGAAGATTTGTATTTCTTATGAATTTACCCGACTACCTAAAAAACCAATTGAATTTACATCTTTGTTTTAAAGTTTCTATAGATTTTATTCTTTAATATATGTATAATATATATTTTACAACACTATATATCACTACATCAGAATAACTGTCTAGCAATGTACTACAGTCAACAGGTGATGAAAATATTTTCATTAAATTGTTAATTACGATGTATGGGTAACTATGACTGTACATTTTTATAGACAGACGATTAACCCTTATCGTATAACTGGTTTGAACATACTATCCACAGATTTGCACCGAATACTTATATCGAAAAGTAAAAGACAAATTACGGTAGTATACCACATGGGTTTTGCGAATATTTGATTAAGCCAAGGTTAAACGACAAAAGGTGTTAACACCAGTAAAAATGAAATATACTAATTGTAAGCCGGAATGCCTAAGTGAAAAAAACTTATAGAAAAAGGATTCAAATAAATCATATTCTGATGACAGTCACAATACATTCTTGTCTTTCATGTAACTTCTATTAAAAATCTTAACCACGTTTTTTCGAGAAACAATTTGCTTATTAACTTTTATAATATTTATGGAAAATTATTTTATTTAAATGCAAAAGAAAAAGTTATTCATGAATTACCTATATAAACCGTTGTCCAATTATACTGATTCAACATATAGGGTGAATTGGTTAATTATGACCCAGTCAATATTATAAAAGTTTGAATTCCTTTTTAAACGTTTCTTTTTCATACATTCATAGTTAACAGTTAGGCCAAAATTTCTATATTTTGATCAATCAAATCCCATCCTTTATGTGTTAAAACCCTATGAATTTAATTTTTTTAAATGGTTACGCATACATTGGCTTAGCTCTTTAAATTAAGAATAATTTTCTTAGAATTTTGAGTAGATTATACCAATAACTAATAATTATGAATAATTTTTTTTTAAGTTATTAACGGTTATATGCGTCAATAAAACAATTGCACTTCACCTCCCATCCTGCATTTCAAATTTCGATCACTGCGATATTTCCTAAGCCTTGTGTCTGTAAACATGATTCATATTTTACTCGAGTAGCAACTCTTTAAATTTTAAAGCGTATACC